AAGGAAGGAAGGAAGGAAGGAAGGAAGGAAGGAAGGAAGGAAGGAAGGAAGGAGCAAGGAAAGGAAAAACTGAATCATGCCAAAGCTATCAGCCATCATGACTGGTATCTTGACTCTTTTTATTTTGTGCTCTGTGTCTGACATAAATTAAGATTTATATATGACAGACAATAGAACTATTAGACCTAAAATCAAATAATTGAGAACACAGTTTGACCTAGTCGAGTGAGGGTAACAGATGAAGGAACTATGTATTTTAAATAACCAATTTTACATCTAAAAACCTAGATTGACTCTATGTATACTCTCGCTACATTTACAGTTATGTGTACTTCATGAATGATCTCCATATCCATGATATCATATACTCCATGACATCTAAATGGTTAAAACGGGACTCTAGAAGAAGTAAGTCATGGTTTCATTCTTTTTTTTATTAGCAAAATAAAAATATTGTTTAATGTTTTAACCTTATCTGAAAGCATTATAGGATATCATAGACATTAATTTAATTAAGAAACATTAGTACTTAAGATAGAAAACATCATGAATGCTGTTATTAGAGATTAAATTTTTCTTGTATAATTTGGATGAGAGTTAACTCAAATCTTGGATTATCTCTAACTAGAGTAAATGAAGTTAAAGTGTAATTTAAAGACTAGGTTTTTTGTTTTATCCAAATTATGCTGAATAATGAAAAATTATATAAATATATATGATTTATATATATATAGACAGTGAAAACACTTGATTCCTTTAAACATGAAAACTAGTTTTAAATAGTGCAGAGGTTTGGGGCAAGCAAACAGTTATTAAAAAACATAATAAGAAGAAAGGACATAATATCTTCAATTATAAGTTCATTAAAACGAAGGTTAGCATTATTTTATCACAGAAATATACCAAGTAGAATATCAACTATTATAAACAATTTTTATAAACCTTGTGGTGATATTGTGTTCCCCAATATATTGTGCACCCTAATAAACATATCTAGGGCCAGAGAACAGAACAGCCACTAGATATAGAGGCCAGAAAATGGTGGCACATACACATTTAATCCTAGCATTCCAGAGGCAGAGATTCATCTCGATCTCTGTGAGTTCAAAGCCACACTGGAAACAGCCAGGCAGGGTGACACATGCCTTTAATCCCAGGAAGTGATGGCAGGAAGCAGAAAGGTATATAAAGCGTGAGGACCAGGGACTTTTAAGCTTTTAGGCTTTTGAACAGCAGTTCAGCTGAGATCCATTTGGATGAGGACTCAGAGGCTTCCAGTCTGAGGAAACAGGATCGGCTGAGAAGTTGGCGAGGTGAGGTAGCTGTGGTCTATTCTGTCTCTGATCTTTCAGCGTTCACCCCAATACCTGGCTCTGGGTTTGTTTTTATTAGTGAGACCTTTTAAGATTCACGCTACATCTAATCACTAAAGTATTTAAGAAACATAAAGTGTTGGATGTGGTGGCACATACTTTTAATCCCAGCATTTAGGATGCAGAGGCAGGTGCATCTCTGAGTTTGAGGTCACCCTAGTCTACAGAGCTAGTTCCAGGACAGCTGGGGCTATATAGAAAAACCCTGTCTCAAGAATAAACAAACAAAAAAGAATTAAAAAGTGAGAGGAATGTTTAACTACTCAGTGTACTCTATCATCGGTGGTATTGAAGGTATCGCCCAGCACTTTTGAAGTCCTTGTGAACGGCCTGGACTCTCAGATAATGTGAGAAAGTTCACCCGGTTGAGCTTCCTAGTCTAGGAATGAGTTACAGGTACCTAGATACAGTCTCAATCTTTTCATCAGAATGGAGTCTTTGATTATGTTCTCTTTTTTTTTCTTTTAGTTGATAAAATCTTCTAGTTTTCTTTATCCTTTGAAAAGACTCTGTAACTAATTTAGAATTTTAATTACCATACTTAAAAGTCCTTTTCAATACATAAAGCCATCTGGTGTACCAGATGGCTGTTTATCTCCAAACACTTTCTCCTTTTTGGAAACCTTGTTGCCCATACCTATCCTGCTTTTCTTTCTGAACACTTGCCTGTCTGGCTGGGGAATTGGTGTGTTGGGTCAATTCTATGTGCTGCCTTTGGGATCGGCTTTCTCAGCTCTTACCCTGAGACCATCTTCTCCCCCTGGTTATCCTGCACATTTATGCAAATGTGAGGGATTCATGACACTTGGTGACTAACCCTTCATATGTGTCTTCCCAGGTGAGCCAATGCGGTTCCTTCTGACGTAGGAATGGGATATATTTATTGGGTTTCTCTATGAGGCCACTCTGGATTGTAGGGTGTTCCCCCTGACAGCCACACCTTTGGGTGGGAGGAAACAAGTGCCTCCTGTCTTCAGTCTTTATTGCTAGGTGTTCATAAAACTTCTAAGCGGAGTCTCAGCAGGGTCACAGGAAAAGCGGCAGAGAAAGGCAGGATTATGAATTGTGAGGAGTGTCAGGACACAAGGGCCACATGATAGTAAGTTAGAGCATTTCAAAGACAAACAAAACAGAAACCAAAGTGCCTTCATAGTTCCAAAAGCAATTCCAAGAATCCAAAATGCCTTTAGATTTCTGAAAGCAAGCAAACAAAACAAAACAAAACAAAACATCTAGATGGAAATGCTTCCAAAACAAACTAAATACCTTAAATTTAGTACTTTGAAAGCAGATCAAAAAGGTATCTATCAAATTACCCCAAATTCCATGTTCTCATGTGGAAACAGTTTCCGAGGCTCAGGCACCTGCCACATAGTTTCACACTGCTCCTCCCTGGCCTCAGTAGCCTCAGACTCCACCACCCTGCTGCCACCCAGTTACTGCCAGCACGCTCCTCAGAGGGTCAGCACATGCAGATTATTGCAGTGTTGAGAGTCACCTCAGCTAAGGAAGGCATGGACACTTGTGGAAGCTCTAAAAATGCCGAGGTGCCCACATGTTCAACAATAATATATGCACTGTTGGCAGGATGTTTGGATCCTTGTAGATTGCATCACAACAACATACTCCATTCTGTATACCCAGATACTTTGGATGTCACCCACTTACAACAAATATGCTCTGCTGCCAGGTGGTCCTGGCTCACTGATTCTCGGTGTGGAGCCCACAGACACCTTTGTTCCATTATTTCATGGCATAAGAGTGTTGTTCTTCTTGTGGAGTTAGAACGACATTCATCTGCATATATGTGAAAGATGTATTACCACAGCTCACTGGTCCTACAGTGGCCCCCAAGACCCTACACTCTGGCATCACAGTCT